AGGGGGCGGGGCCGCAGGGGGAGAGGCAGACAGGATTGGGTGGAGGAGGCGACTAGTGGAGGGGGCGGGGCCGCGGTAGGGGAGGAACAGAACTGATTGGTCTGGGGGAGGTAGGGCGGGGCTGAGGCCGCTAGAAGGTCGGGGACTCCGCACGGCCGAGCTGGACCGGGCGGGGCTGCAGGTGAAGCACACCGATTGGATCTTTCCGAGAGAAGGGGCGGGCGGAGCGAGGTGTTAAGGGGGCGGGACCGGCAACTAACGCTGCGGGGCTGGGCCGCACCGGGAAAACGGGGGAGGTGGGACTAGATATGAGATCTGATTGAACTGAAAAAAGGAGCGGGTGCCGCAGAGGAAAGGGACACATCCAAACTATTTAAAGATTTCTGACTGGCATGGGGGAGACGGTCCTGATTGGACAGAGAAAGGACCTAAAGAGCTGGCAAGCAGGACCGGGTGGGGAGGGGCGGATGGAGACAGTCGGCTTGGGTCCCTAACTTTGCTTTGTCGCGCGGCAGGGCGGACCTTAAGAGGCAGGGCCTGAGAACGAAAGAGTCCTAATTGGGCTGGGAGAGTGAGGGGGCGAGACTGAACGAGGGGCGGGAACTGGAAATGGAGTGTAGGGAGTACTTTCGCGCGAAGAGCACTAGGCTGGACTGACAGGAGGAATAGGGACTGAAACCCAGTGAGGAGGAGCGGACATAAGTGAAGCCTGGAAACCTGAGAGCGTCTGGCTAGGACTAAGAAAGGGGGCGAAGTAAGGAAGGGGAGGGGCAGGGGCTGCAAGTTTGGCCTGGTTAGACAGGGCTGGGCCGGGAGAATGAGTGTCAGAATGGATGGAACGGGACTGAGGAAGGTGGGTGGGGTCTACGAATGGTAGAAAGCCTCTTGAAGGCCCTGTAGGAAGGCAAGACTAAGGGAGGAGCCGGGTTCTAAGAGGCTTGAAAGCAACCAGGCTAGGCGGGGGTGGGGCAGGGTTCAGAGTAGAGAACGGATAATGGGTCCCCTACGGGAAAGGTGAGACCTGCAGGGTACAAAGCAACTGGGCTGGTTGGAAGGGTGGGACCCGGAATGGGGAGTCTTGGGGCTCAGAGAACCTGGGAGAGAGTCATAAGAGTCAGTGGGGCTTCAGAGGGCGGTACAAGAATTTCCAACTGGTGATGAAAAAGGGACCAAGTCTACACAACAGCGGACTGCAGACTGGAGAACCACGGGATGGATGAGGACTGGTGAAGAGGGAGCCTTAAGGGCGGCGGAGGGGAGAAACCTAAGCGCCGGGAAGGCTAGGCTAGGCTGAGGAAATAAGCGGGGCCAATGAGAAATGGGGCGGGGCTAGGTGTCCAGGAGTCCCGGCGGGAGGGGAGAGAAGGAGGGTTGGGGCGGGGCTAGCTGAGGGGCGTGTCCGGCCCCGTCCCCCTGGCTGGCCGGACGCCGGGTGGCAGGGCGCAGGCGCTGGGGCGGGGCCAGCGGCTGCTGCCGGGGCTGCGGCGGGAGGAGGTGGTGCCTGCGGGAGCGAAGGGGGCGGGTCAGGGGCTGCGGGCTTCCTCCCGCGGCACTATCCCTGGCCCGCCGCCTCCCTCTGCAGGTGCGGCGGCTGGTTCGTATCGCCTACCCACCCACCCCCGCTCCCGTTTCTGTGTCTCTCGATGTCTTTCTCTCCCCTTTCTCTGAGTATTTGTCCCGTCGTCTCTGCCCTCATCACTCTGAGACTCTGGCCCCTCTTTTCTAAGCCTCTACCCTCCCTCTGGGTCTCTGTCCCATTGTTCTCTGAATGTGTCCCCCCCCCTCTGAGTCTTTGCCCTCATCCTCTCCCCCAACTGTGTCTCTGTCCCCCCACCCCAGTCTCTTTCTCCTGGTCTCTGTACCTTTTCTTCAGGGATTTGCCTCTCTCTCTGGGCCTCTGTCCCCTCCCGGTCTCTGTCCCTCCTCTTTGTGTCTCTGTCCTCCACTCCTCCTCCCCCGCTCCCGCCTCGCCAGTCTGCCCCCTCTCTGGGTCGCTGTCCCCCTTGCTCTAGGCCCCTGTCTCCCTCTCCCTGGGTCTCTGTCCCCTCCAGCCCTCTGTCCCTCTTCTTTGTGCCTCTGTCCTCCACTCCCCTCTCCCAATCTGTACGCCCCACCCCAGTCTCTGCCCATTCATCTGCGTTTCTGTCCCCCTTGCTCATGTTCTCTGACAACCTCCCTCCTAGTGTCTTTTTTCCCTCCACAACTTTCCCTCTTCTGTAAGTGCCCTTTCTCTTTCTGCCCTTTCTTTTTCTCTCTGTCCCCCTATTCAGGTCTCTATCCTTGCTCCCTGTGTCTCTTTCCTCTATATCCTCTTCCCCCCTCTGAGTCTCTGTCCCCACTTCTTTGGGACTTTGTCCCGCTGTCCTTTGGTCTTTAACTCCCCCCCATCACCCCCTCTAACCCCCATCCTGGCCAGGACTCCACGCTGCGTCACTGCGGAGAGAGTTGCAGAAGTGGGGCCTGTCCTGCAGACCAGGGAGGTAGTTTCCCTCACCCCCAGACCCTGGGCTCCCCCACTGCCCCCAATTCAGTATCCTTAATCCAGTATTCTTGGGCAGTCCTGAAGCCCCTGATGGGACCCAGGAAGGCAGAGAAAAGACATCGGAGCTTCCCACTCCTCTCTGCCCTGAATTCTGGTGTATCCCCAGGCAGAAGCAGTGAATCTTGAGGTGAGGGACTGGACTTAGGTTGAGGCTTGGGTTGAATGAGGTTTCTGAGCAAGTCGGGAGTCGGGATGGAGGCTGGAGCAGGGGTTGGGTAGGCCCGAGGGGTGGGAGTAGGGGCTAGAATAAGAACCTAAATCAGCCATGCTCCCTTATATCCTCTCCCCTCTCCCCTCCCCCCAACTCTACTTTTCTCTTCTGCTTTTGACAGCAGCTGGGCACGGGATCAAGTGACCAAATCAGCGTTTTTGCAGAGGCCAGAAGGTGTGGGAGAAGGTGCGAAGGAGAGGGGGCTGCCATAGGGGAGAGTATGGGATGAGACTCCAGATTAGAGACCATGGGAGTGGCGAGGAGGCCCCAGAACAAGGAGTAACAGGATAGTCCAGACTCCATCAGGCCCTGGGAAAACTGAATGCCATCACTCCCTCATGGCCCTCCCCAGGCCCCAGCAGGTTATCTGGGGGGATTTGTGAGCCTGGGTTCTGTACCCATGGGGTAGGCTTCTGGAGGCATAATGTAGGCTCCGGTTATGGGACACCCAGCCCTGCAAACAGACCAGAGGGAAGTGGACTCGATTTTTGGTGATAGACACCAGTAGGGTGTAGGCCAATGTCCGTCCTCGTCTTCAGACCTTTCCCACCCCTCCTCCTTCCCAATCTATCCTTTCCCTGCTCTTCCAGGCACAAAATTCCTGAAAGCTCCAAACTCCCACCTCCGTCATCCTCGGTGCCCTCTCTTAATTAACTTCCCCTCCCCCATTCTCCAAGACCCTGGAATTGGGAAAGGGTCTCCCGCTTCCCGATTTCTAGGACCCCAGCTTCGTTCCTCCGCCCCCATTCCTATCAGTTCTAAATCTAGGAAAGAGGGCCTCCTGAGCACTAAAGCTGAAAATATGGAGACTCTCTGCCTACGATCCTTGGTTCCCCAGACCCTCCAAGAACCCTGGCCCCCAAACCTCGTTATTAAGGAAGAATCTCTCCGCTGTAATTTTTGAGTCCTCATCTCCCAGGTCTCCCACCTCCAAAACTGGGATTTGGGCCGTCTTACCGCCCCCGGACCCTGTGCCTTCTCCCCCTCCCCCGTACTCACCCCAAGTCGAGGCGGGGCGGGGATGGGGGAATCCGGGGCTAGCGTTGGGGGAGGGGTGACCCAGCCCCGGCAGCTCAGGGCAGCAAGAGGCTGCGGAGGGGGGGGAATGACATCATCGCCGGAGGAGGGACAGCACAGCTCCCCCCAACCCGGGGGCTTCAAGCCCCGCCTTTATGGCGGACCCAGGGGTCTCAGAATCCCAGGGGAGAGAGGAAGAACAGAAAATGAAGTCTGCGGGAATCGCGTCCCCACCCCTTAAAACAAGGGTTGGAAAGCCCTTTACGATTCAGCCACCACCCCCCACTGCCACCTGTCGCTGCCGTCGCGACCTGTCGCCTCCCACGCATGTTGTGGCTGCGC